CATCAAACCCAACGCCTTTCACTATCTTTATTTTTGTAAAGAACACAGCGGGCTGGGGGTGAGTGGGTGGGGGGGGGTGTTGATTTATGAGCCTTTTTGCTGGTAAATTTAATCTTGGTACCGCCAGTGCTGGGGAGATGAAAGGCAGAAGGTCAGGAGACGGGCTACCTGGCACCGGGTCAATCGCTCACGCTGATTCCCCTGCACACTCAGCCAGCTGCCGTCTCCGCGCCTCTCACCCGCGCAGATTGCCGGCCTTGGAGAAGATGACCTTACGGGAGGAGCGGGTGGAGCTTTGCACCATGGCGACCGCAAAGAGCGCGGTATCTTTTCTGCTCCATCCAAAAGGGGGCACCAGCCGTGTTACAGGCCTCCGTTCAGGTCAAAATAAAGGCGGAGCATATAGCTATCGGACTCCACCTCCCATAATGCCCCGGTTTTATTGTGCCTGTACAGGTCAATTTGATACTGTTCCTATAACCCTCTTCCAAAGTACTCTCAACAAACAAATCAAGTAGGTCAGATGGCTATTGCTAAAAGCATCCTAAAACATTAGACTATAGCAAATCTATTTGATTAATTGGTGAAGAACAATTAAGTACATGATTTGTTTACCCCTGATTTATTTATTATCTAAATATATCTGATTTAAAAATTGCCCATCATTGGCTGATGGGTGTGTCATGTGATGCTTGGCTTTTCACAGGCAGTTGGAGAAGGACCTACCTCACCCCATCTCCCTCCCGACAGCAGCCTGCCTGTCAGTGGATCGTCTTTGTTTCCAAACCCACAAGTAAAACCCCCAAGACCCCACCAGAGTCCTGCACCCACCCTCGAGTCTGTGATTGGCAGCAGAGTATCAGCAGGGCAGGCTGCGAGAGGAAATATCCAATCGGATGCTGTCTGGGCCCAACCTCAGCTGCATTGCTGCTGGATGAAAGGAGAGGACTCGATGTTGCTCGGCAACAGCTCTGCCCACTTCAAAACGGACTCGGTCAGTTTTAAAATATCTGCAGTTAGTTACCGTAGTTAACCCACCTTCAGAACAAGTTGAGAAGTAAGAATGGAAATGAATGTCAGGCAGGCTTCCTTTATGTATGTTTTATATATATATATATATATATATATATATATATAAACACACTATTGCTGTATTATATTTGTCTAATGTGCTTTTCTAATGTTTCATTCCACCCTAGAGGGACATAGATAAGGGGCCCTGAGGCATCTCTATGCAGAGCTCAAAGGAAGATCTTGAATGTATATATCCAGGTGTCACGTTGTAACCCCCCCCCCCCGAGCCCCCTCACATTGCTGGAAGGGGGCAGCTAATGCAATCATTCCCAACAGCCCATAATGAGACGATTAATAGGGACGCCAGGATGAGTGCACTGGATCAGCTTCTCTTTGTGTAAGTGCATCGTACTGGATTGGCTTCAGCTTGTATAACTACAGTGCTGTATTGCCTTTGCTCTCTATGACTGAACTGCACTGGATATGCTTGTCTTTGTATAACTACAGTACACTGTATTTTCTTCTCTTTGTATAACTGCAGTGCACTGGAATGACTTTGGCTTGTGAAACTGCAGTGCACTGGATTGGCTTCAGTTTGTATACCTACAACGTCCTGAATTGGCTTCGCTTTGTATGACTGCAGTGCACTGGATCAGCTTCTCTGCGTAGAGTAATGCTGAAAACAGTGTGACATTAGCCTCTGCCCATGTGCCCTTTCTCCAAAACCAATAGCTCTCATGTTTTTATATAATCCCCTTGGCCTCCCTCACTGCAGGGCTGACAACTAAAGCACTCCCCCGAATCTCATCAGGAGAACACAGCATTGAAACCCCCCCCCCCGTTCACAGGAAGACATGAGCTACTGTTGCCTTTTCTGTGCTCCCCCCACCCCCCAGTCTGCTGAGGAAGGTCTGGACAAGAAAGCAACAAGCTGATGCAACCGGCCCGGATTTACATGCGATCTCTGTTCAGAATGCAAGGTGACACCGGGCACGGGGTTTAATGAATTCCCAGCAATTGCCCTTTTCCATGGTATATAACTGTCTGAGGGCGGGGGTGCGGGGGTGTGATTATGCTGGGCCATCGGCCGACGCCGGGCCCTTTCGCCGTGTCATACGGTAACCTTTACACCCGTTCAGTGTGCAGAGCTGCGCGTGGAACGTGAGGTGTGTTCGCTGAGGGCTTCTCTGCTGGCCTTTCCCGGCGTAACAGAGCGTTCTCCTCACTGTGATAGTCCACTGGGGTAGACCTTGGTCAGACCTGTGATTTATCGCTGATGGCGAGGAAGAGGAGGCGCAGTGAGGGATGCAGGTAACCCCGAGTGACAGTGCAGGAAGTCTGCAAAGTTTGGGCACCGGGAGCAGGATCTGAGTGATTCAGTGCCTCTGTGGTGTATTCCCTTTTCAGATGAGAATTAATTCCTAACCAGGCCCAACTATGATGCTTAAATCAGAATATCGTCACATAATGTTGTGGCAGTAAACACCACTGAGTAACAGAGTCTATGTTTGTGGTAGCATTTTGGCCATAGGAATATGGAAATGTATATGAAGCAATATACATTCACTATTATTAATGGCCTTAACGTAATAGTCTGGGTGATAAATGTACGGCTGTGCTTAATGGTCTTATTAATTTTCTGGTGTGTGTGTGTGTGTGTGTGTGTGTGTAAATATTACCAGTAATGGACCCAGAAAGCTTTGGCCAAAGATGGCCCAGGGTTAAGAGATTTGAACAAAACAGCTTCGGATAAGCGGGTGCCCCGTTCTCATAGAGAATTATTTCCTACATCAACACGGCACCCGGAAAACACATCCCATAATTCTTCTCGGGTAATTTTTATTGCACTTTAAGTTGCTATGACAACCACAGGGGGGAGGCCTGAACAGAGAGGCATTCACAACTGTTTCTCAATTCCGCCATTTGTCCGAGAGATTTGCCGGGGATGCAGGATCTTTGGAATGACGGCGGAGGCGACGTGGATGTGAAGCACGCAAGATAACCAGCGCCGCTCGACAGTTAAGACGTCCAGATGTCTAACTGACGTCCGAGAGCCTTCCAGCCTTCTGTAAAAGCTGTAAAATAACACGGTACAGTGGGATAGTGTGGAGCTGACTGATCCCTTTCAGCGTGAACTAGCTCGATCGGCGGCCACACTCACAAAGGGGTCTTTGTGACCCCTGGTCCATGTCCCACCATGTGCTTCTGCTCCCTGTAAATCAGCCGTGCCTTGAAGGTAATCGCTAGTTCAGCAGCATGCATGCATGCGGCCTGCTGAAAATGTGATAGACATGACATTCAATTCCTAATTTTGCATTTGTAATCTGTATTTTAAGCTTAAAATGGCACAGCTGACGGGTGACTTCTTTTCACTTTCAGTGTTCCGTAGATGCATTCTATGCAATGATCCATCCAATACCCCTTTTATCCATTTTTACTTCCTTCTTCCTGTGTCAAACCCAGCACGAAATGTAACCCATCTGTGTATTTAATCTATTGTTATTATACATGACTGATCCTGAGGAGAGGGCAGGCCTCAGCTCAGCTCTCATTGCAGGCTACATCTCAGGCCTCATTTCAGGCCACATATCAGGCCTCATTGCAGGCTACATCTCAGGCCACATATCAGGCCTCATTGCAGGCTACATCTCAGGCCTCATTTCAGGCCACATATCAGGCCTCAACTCAGGCCTCATTTCAGGCCACATATCAGGCCTCAGCTCAGGCCTCACTTCAGGCCACCTCTCAGGCCTCAGCTCAGGTCTCATTGCAGGCCTCACTTCAGGCCACATCTCAGGCCTCACCTCACATCATTTCGCACCTAATTAGAGGAGGTGCTGGCCTATGACAGAGAGAGTGGGGCCTCTACATCCCGCAGAATTAAAATTATTAGCTGTAGATGGGGCAGCTTTTAACCCCCCTCAGGTATCGATCGACCAGGACCGTCAGGGCGAGTGACGTGCAATCTGACACCGTGATCTTCTCTGTCTGCAGAGGCCTGTTGCCTGGTTTCTGTGGGTGACCGGGGGGGGGGGTTGTTCATAATCACCTTTCTGTGTGACAGAGGCTGTTTATTCACCTGGATTTCAAACTTCACTATTATGCTAATGCTAACAGCCTTGGGGCAGGGAGGGTGGCAGTGGGGGAACTCACCTCAATGCTTCTGAGAGATGGAGGGGTGGGTGGGTGGGGGGCTGCTGTGACTAGCATTACCCAGGGGGCTGACAGGACGAGCCCGCGGTCACCAGTGTGACAGAGCTGCCAGCGCCTCTGCGCAGGATGTCCAGGTCCCGGCCTGGAGATCTTCCTGAGAATCTGGGTGACGGAGCAGAACGAGAGGCTGGTGGCTGGCTTTGGTCCAGCGCTAGGGGCACCTCCTGGGGGGGAGGAGGCCTACAAGGGTGATGGGTGTGACCTGTCCGACCTGATCCCGGGACATGCCGGGTCCTCCACAGGGAGGTGTCAAGACGGAAATGGCCGCTGGCTTTGCTTCAGGGTCCCAGCGGGAGGTGGGCGGTCAGGTCCAGATACGACAGTGGAGACCCCTAGAGGCAGAAGGAGGGAACGCCATCCGTGTTCAAAGCCACCGGCACATTTCAGGGGAGCCGGACTATGAATTAGTGATACAGCGGTGATGTGAGTGCGGATCCTCTAGGGGGCAGCGGGGGTATGATCTGTGCTCCTGCGGTGGGCACTCCGACAGAAGCTTTGCAGATTTCCGGAAGCCGCGTGAGCAGGCTGGCTGGAGGCTTGCCTCTTCCTCACTCCTTCCTCACCTGGGGCCCTCTTTATTCATATACTCCCTCCATTTTATTCCCAGCATGCTCTGCTGTTTTTCATTCTCATGCATTTATGGATTTCGGCATGGGAGCACCATTTGGGGGAAAATATGAATATTTTTACGGCATGCTGTGAGAAGTAGTGGAGGTGAGGGCAGGGGCTGCTTGGGGGGGGGGGGTGCAGGACATAGGGGCCAGATGAGGAGCGTGCAGATCAAGCTGATGGGAGGACTAAAGAAACCGTCACTCCTCACCCCCTCTGTTCTCCTCTATCCTTCATTAGTAAAAAAAGAAAGAAAAAAAAAGGTAATTGAAATCATTTTTGTCATGTGTTCACATTTTTATGTATTTTGTGATAAATTCATGATTTTACATTGAATTGAACTGATTGAAATTCCCAGAAATGTTCAGGAATCCTTGATGAAATTGAGTAAGTGATGTTTTTTTCTTTTAAAACTTTGGGTGACATCGGCCCGCCGTGTCCCGTGATCGGAAGGCCGTCAGCAGAGTGATGTCACCTTCAGGTCCCCCAGTGCTCCACGGAACCCCTGACCCTGCTTTCAAATGTTCATCGATTTGGATAAAAACGCCTATTAAATAAATGCAGTGCACAAATAAAACAATAATTCAAGAATGTGTTAAATGTTTACTTAGTCTAAATTTATGGTTAGCTGAATAATCTGAAATGACAAAAATATGCAATAATAGGCACTTTTTGAGGCACTTGCATGATACATATGTTAAGTCACAATACATATGTTATTTGGCACGTCTGTTACGTGATACGTATGTAACGATACAGATGTTACATGATATGTATGTTACGTGTTATGGATATTACATGATGCAGATGCCACGTGATACAGATGTTCCTTGATACATATGTTACATATATTACATGATACATATGTTACGTGTTACATATATTTCATGATACATATGCTACGTGGTATGCTGGTAACATGAAATAGGTGATACACAATACATATTTAATGTGGTACATATGTTACATGATACATGTACTACATGATACATCTGTCATGTGATATGGATGTTACATGATATGTATGCTACGTGACACGGATGTTACATGATATGGATGTTACGTGATATGTATGTTACGTGACACGGATGTTACATGATATGTATGTTACGTGACACGGATGTTACATGATATGGATGTTACGTGATATGTATGTTACGTGACACGGATGTTACATGATATGAATGTTACATGACACGGATGTTACATGATATGGATGTTACGTGACACGGATGTTACATGATATGTATGTTACGTGACATGGATGTTACATGATATGGATGTTACGTGACAGGGATGTTACATGATATGGATGTTACGTGATATGTGTAGCGTTGACTACACTACAGCACTGCTCAGTAGCCTCTCCTCTCCTCACAGGAGCAGAAGATGAGAGATGAGCGACAGCAGAGTAACAGCAGTGTGAAGGTGAGCTGAGCTTACAGACCCCCCACATCCTCCTGCCCTTAATATGTGAGCCCACAGCAATTTTCCTGCTCATCTAAAACCTGGAATTTCATTATTACTCACAGGTCAAATATTGGATTCGGAACTGAACAAATGGATTTAATGACAACGAGATCACTCCAATCAGAAGGCTATTGGATGCTGGGTAAAATTGATCTACCCGTCAATTGAGGAGACCTTGCCCCCACTGGCGTGACAAAGCATAACGTCCCCCAATGGAATAAAGCCAGCATTGAACTGGAAAGGGGCTGTGCTTAATTTCAGCTAAACTTTGGAATCAATGCAAATTGAACTAAAGAAATGTATATTAATAAAATTGTTTTTGTATGACATACATCAGCCTAAATTAGTACATTAAATGACTTTTGATTTCAAAGGGAAAAACTGCACTACACACATGCAAAAACATGTACTATTTGGTCGCTAAAATAGATGACGTTACACACCGGGTTGTTAGAGCAAAAATAATTAAAAGAAAATGTAGAAAAGACAGAGCAATATTTTTTATGTTTTTGGCAAAGCAACAAAGGCATTGGAACCCAAGCAGAGCAAAAAACCTGCTGGAAGAACAAGCAGAGCAGCATTTGTGGCTAATGCTAATGAAAAGGACTGCAGAAATGAGCAAGAAAAGTGCAGCACAGGTGGAAAGTTTGCTGTAGCTAACAGGTGTCGATAGAAAATATTGCATTGTTACGTGTTTAAATAATTAATAGTGTATTATCGCTGTTAAAGGCCAATTTGTGTGTATGATGTCAGTATGGTCTCTATTAGCTCTGACACCTCAGAGTTTACAAATTAAACATTAGAGAGGAGTAGTTTGAAGGCCTGGGATCGTTTGTTACCATGGCAATTGATCAGCTACCACGGACCTACAGGTGATTGAGTTAATGGTGTCCCAGTTGTTCTTTGGACTTTGTTAGAGAATTTATAGGGGTGGCCGGGTGCATTGTGGGATTGGGCAGGGAAGGGGGCTGCGAGTAGTTCAGTTGTATCAGCTTACTGCTGCATTCTCCACCAGCATCTTTCATATCTCCATTTCCAGTCTGCGATAGAGGTGTCAGCAGATCTTCCGTAGGTGACATGACATCTGTGTTGGGCTGCAAATCCCGCATGTTCCAGATGACTAGGGAGGCAGGATGTTTCCATTCAGCTTTTCATATGCTGAGAGATTTTGGGCCCCCAAAAAAGTGTCATATCGGGTCCCCAGCCCAGACCAATCTATTAGGCTCCCTGTCACTCAGGGGCCCCTTGAAGTCGTCCTAACTTTTGCCCCCATACGGCGTCCCAAGACTGTGATCTCACACCTCCAGGATCTGAGGGCTTGGTTCCTACCCCTGGCTCTCTACATGTGAAATTCGTAGGTTTCCTCTTCTAGGTCAAAAACCTGCAGTTAGTTGGATTGGTGTCCCTGAATTACTCTGTGTGTCTAGTGTATCCCTTGCCTTGTGCCCTGGACAGACTCCTGGCCCATCATAACTCAGAACTGGACTAGCTATTCTGGAAGAGGGATGTTGAAACCTGTACTGCGTTAAGTTTCTGTGGAAAATGTTTTAGCAGCTGACCAAGCAAAATCCAAAGCACCTTGGAGGTTTTGTTTTTTTTTTTTTTTTTAAAAAGTATAGCTTTAACATTTTACTATTTGGCAATTCAAGTTACTGCAATTCTTTCAATAGTCCAGCAGCAAAAAAGCCCTCCTATGTCTGACCCTGTGAAACTGTAGTAAAAGTGGACTCAACTGAGCATGGAGATTTATTTTTCAATGTATAACATTATGCTGTTCTACAGCAGTATGGCAACTGAGTCATGCTGGGGAAAAGGTTTATTTTGAAGCTGATTAATAATCAGTGTTGTGCTGCAATTCAATGGAGCCTCTGACAATTGCTACTATTTTTAATATGTTTTTTTTATTTTTGAATGCCGAGATATTATTTTGTAAACGTGAATCATATGATTGTGCTAAATTATGACAGCCTGCTTGCAATGCAAACAGCAGGTACGCACTGGACTCTAGTCGGCTTAGATTAACCAATCCAACAGCAGTTGAGATTTTTTGATTGGTTCCCATGCAGTCACCTGACAAACTGGACAAATGCGATTTGCCATTTTCTTTAAGGAGGCATTTTATGCATTTAAGGGGCTCACAGATGGTGCAACATATGGGCTCTTTTTGAGGGTTTGGGTAAAGATTTAATTGCTGTCAGTTATTATCCATCGAAAAATCATATGGCCATGCTAGTATTGTTAATATGCCAGCAAAATATGGATCATTCTCACTTCATTTGATTGAAATGAAATAGCAATTATTTTTAGACAAAAGTTTGTAGTCTGGTAAGGTTTCCTGGCAGCTGAACCAGTCAGTCAAACTGAAGTACTTGTGGTTCAGGATCCTTTTCTTGACCTATTCTGTTCCTTGCAGCCTCTGCGAGTTTTTTTTCCCTTCTGCCCTAAACCATATTCCTGCTAATGTCTATCTAGAGACCCCACAGACTAGTGCTGGCTTGGGGCATGTAAGGCGGAAAAAAAAAACTGATTCAAAGAATCACAAACTTTAGTGCCTTCTGGCAAGGTCATTCATGTTTGAGGGAGAAACGCAGACTCCATATTTATCTCGAAGAAGGAAAATAATCAAATGGAGCCGAGACCACGTGTCCCCCTGAGCGTTTTCATAAAAACAGCATTTCAAAGTGAAGCGTGTATCTGAGAAGATCCATATTCATCCTGTTCCTAGCCTAATTCCAGCCCAGGAGAGATCCGGAGCAACTAGACTTCAAACTCCTCCAAATGAGGGTGGAAACAGAGTGAGTGTCCCCTCTGTGCCAGACGGATCTGCGCTGTTTTGTAAATATCTGAGGCGCTGGTTTTGTATCTTCCATCCCTCTAAGCCAGCAGGTCCTCGGGCAGAAGATGTGAATTATCAATGAGTTGTCAGGGTCACGCCATCAAAACAAGCCCACAGTGGAGGGTGACGTACCTTAGTAGTCAGGACTGGGCCCGGCTTTGGGCTAATTAAGAAATTAAAATTATAACTGCAAGCTAGCCTTGCATTTATGGATGGAGATTGGGGAATTAGGGTCAGTGAGTTCACTTCCCCCCGATCCACCAACTATAACGGCGGCTTTTACAATTAAATCCATGCTTATATTAGCATATTTTACATTGTTTTTAGTGGATTACTTAATGCGTCTAGCTACTTGACATTTTTAAGCAGTTCTTACAGCATGACATTTTACCAGATCGGTTCAAAATGGATTTTCTGGGACTGGAACCAGCAACATTTCGGGCACAAGTCAGTGTCCTAAATCCCTATATTATGAAAGGAAACCCCGTGATTATGGTTTGCCGGTGCAGGGAGGGTTGCTGCCCCCAGCAAAGCTGCCGCAGTGCGAAGCTTCTCCCCTGCCATATAATTTAACTCTGTTTAACTCCATGACTCAGTTGTAGGTGGTAGCCAATGGCAGAAGCCAACAATTAGCAAGTTCATTGCCTGGTGCTGGACTCCTGAGTGGGGTTCAGTTAGGGCCTGACGTTGGAACAAAGCAACTGTCTTCTGTGTTAGAACCTTTGGATAAGACTGTGCTGCAAATGAATGGGAAGCATCACCTTCATATGATCATCGGCTGGACTAGACCGACTCAGCTGGTTGATTATCTTTTGTCTTTATAATAATTCACATAGCTTCTGAATTTGTCAAAAACAAAATCATCCCTAATTATTGCATACTGGTGGGAAAAAAGGGTTAATTGTAAATGAAAACAGTTTAAAAAATCAATTTGAGGTTGTGAAACAAGCTAAACCTTCCAAGCTGGTACAAATTACGCAGCTTCCGCGAAGAAAAACGTTAAATGACGTATGAAAATGAAAATAAGCATGGCAATTACCGTTAGATTGGAGCTGGTATTGTGGGCCTGGAACTGAGCTTGTATTGTTGCAGTGCATTGTGGGTAGTGGCCCGGAGTTGCAGCGCGTCCTCTGCGCAGAGGGGTCACAGAGGCAGGCAGACGAGCTGCTCTCTTCCCTGCTCCGTCCGTTATTCTCTTTCCCAAAACACAGGCTTTCCTGTACCCCCGAAAGAACAAAATTTACAAGAGGGACAAAAGAGAGCTGTGTTCTGGACGTATACAAGTAATCCAGCCAACAACAGGCCTTTTCATCACTGCATTAAGGACCCCCACCCCCATCCAGACCATCATGGCTGTATGCCTCCCAGCCCAGGGGTCACCGAATCCTGCATGTGACTGTTTCGCTAAATGCTATTAACATCAGCTCCCGTGCACTGTGCTGTTTATAACCCTTTTTGTCCACTTTGTTTTCTATAAATAACTGAAACAGAACTGCTATTGGGAAGTGCTCAGCTGTGTTTGAGTCGGGGGGGGTTACGCACTGCTGGGGGTGACACCGGTCCGGTTGTTTCTGCTAGCTTTTCCCAAGCAGACTGCAGTGACTGTGTTTTCTCCTAGACCTCAGGCACCTGCACCCCTTGCGAGTGTAAAAAATGCTCATTAAAAATGCCGTGGGGTCCCAAATCACGCTTGTGGACGGTAAATCAGAAATGGCACGTTATTAATGGTCACTTTGTGGTCAGCACCCAGCCCTGAGATTACAGCGGCGCCAAGCAAGACCAATCGTGGGAGAACAAGTAAACGCTTATGAATACTTTTTTATCTCACCCCTCTGGCTCCTGCACCCCGCTGCTCCACAAACCACAACCCCCCCAGGCCGTCATTAATTGGCAGGCTGCAGGTGATGACTGGAAAGCCGAGCCCCTCCCCGCCCCCAACCCAGCAGCAGACACGGCAGCACGAGAGGTCCTGCAAGGTCCTTATGCAGTCGGCGCCCTATAAATCACCGTAACAACGTGCTGGTTTTACTCAGTCGTCCGCTTTATTCATATTAAACAATCCCTAGCATCTTGTGATCTGTGTGAGGACTCATAAGT